TTCATGATGCAACTCAACAACACGTTTCAGGTTATACAAAGTCTACTCAAAAAAGAGAGAACTGCTATGGAGGACAACTGGGAAGAGATCAAAGGAGCACTAACTTCAACGTGTCAGGAGGTTCTGGGTTGCAACAAGCATCATCATCATAAGGAATATATCCCTACCAAAACTGTGGACAAGTTTCAAGAAAAAAAGAACAAGCAGACAGCAATTAACAACAGTAGATCAATAGCAGAGAAAGTCAAGGCACAGAACGAAAGCAAAGAAGCAAGTGAAGAGGAGCATTAGAGATGATAAGCAAAAGTACGTGGAAAATCTAGCAGCGACAACAAAAAAATTGCTGCAAGAGAAGGGAATATGCAACAACTGTATGACACGATGAAGAAACTATCTGGGAAATATAGTGAGTCAGAGAGACTGGTCAAGGACAAAGGAGGAAAGACAATCACGGAGATTCAAGGACAGAGGAACAGATGGGTTTAATACTTCAAAGTACTCTTGAATCGATCAGTTCCATTGAATCCACTGAATTTCGAAGCAGCACAAACGGACCTTCCCATTATCTGTCATTCCATCAACAACTGAAGAGTAGGAAAACAGCATGACCTAAAACCGTACAAGCTGAACCAATAAAGTCAGGTATGGAAGTGACTGCAACAACGCTCTACGTTCTATGCAGGAGGTTTGGGAGGAAGGACAATTGCTGACGAACTGGTAAAAAGGACACCTCATCAACGTACCGAAGAAAGGAGATCTGGGCAAATATAAGGCCTACTAAATAATTAAACTACTCTCAGTACCGGGAAACGTTTTCAACAGTGCTGTCGAACCGGATGAGAGATTTAGTAGACGCTCAGCTTCGAGATTAAGAGGTTGGACTCCGTAAGGATCGGTCGTGCACAAACCAAATGGTGACGCTACGGATTATTGTTGAACAATCGATTGAAAGGAATTCATCCTAATACCTCAAATCCCTTAACTATGAGATAGCATCTGACAGTGTGGACAAAAGGGCCATCTTCCACACTATGGTGTAGATGATATGGTAGTAAGCATCATACGGAATTCATACAACAAACTACACTGCAAAGTCGTGCATGCAAATGAATAGTACATACGTTGCAGAAATCACCAAACTGCACCATAAAGCACGCACTAACTTGGAATCCTGAAGATAAACGGAAAAGTGGAAGACCAAAGAACACATTGCGTCGGGAATCGGAAGCAGACATGAAAAGAATGAACAACAACTGGAAAGGATCGGCCAGGATAGAGTCGGATTAAGAGTGCTGGTGGGGGCCTATGCTCCCCCACGGGTGATTACAGGCGTAAGTTAGTAATTTTAGTTTCAGGCAGTCATAATCAACATAGAGCCTGACACATGAACAATATTCATTAATCCATTGTCCCAATGAAAAACGTCATCACTTAATTTCTTCAATTAGAAAGTACTCCGCCTTTTCAGTCGTAATTTCTTATTGTTCCAATAAAAAACAAAATTAGTTTTCTTTTAGTCAATTTTTCTTATCTACAATAAATTGTAGTCTTATGAATCTCTCATAAGACTTTAAGAAAAGTACTTGTCTAAATTAAATTTTCAGTTAAATATTTCTTAATCAGTCATAAAATACTTTCAACATGTGATCTGAACGGTAAACTCAAATCTTTTTACAGGACATCATGATAGCATACTGATTAGTACAGTACATATTTTGATTGTACTATAAAAAGGAAAGACAAAAGATTATTGTTTACTTTGTGACCTTTATCCCATGTCCTTTGATAATCATTCGTTAGCATATTATCCACCTATTCGTATTATTCTGATCGCATATTTTGCATGTCTTCATTCCCTGATATATATTCAGTCGGTTGATCAATGAATCTGTTTCCATATATGTATTCCATCGTGGTTTAACTTGTCGATCTGTGAGCAAGTTATGCTACTGATTTACGCAATCATTCCAGTCAACTTTTACATGAAAACAGATTATTTGGCATCTAGGATCACGGAAATACATTCCCAATAATATGTCTAACTTTATTTTGTGTGTAAAACCCTTTACTTAGTGAACACAATAAATTCATCTTGGATCGAGACTGTAGATGAAGACAAGTGGGCCTTAAAAATCATATAATTAATGAATGGAAAAAAATAACAATTTATCTATTTATTGAGGATCTGATAAGTTTGAATGTATGCTAATAATACTCAGTTCTATCTTGGCACATCTAGTTGATAATTTAGATAAATCGAAACCATTTCGGGTGATCTATCGTATACCTCCATCATTTCCGAACGGAGTTCGTTCCCGTCTCCTTCATATAGCTGAAGTCATAGGAATTCGTACATTTCACCCCAATTTATGTGTACAGATGGAATTTGTAACCCCACTATTCCTTCCATGGCCGGATATAACTTAACAAATGACATTATTATTATTAAATTATGTTATTATTAGCATTATTTTCACACCCGTTATTTATTTGACCACTCTAAGTCTATTTACCAACGTTTGACCTCCTGTTTCCAATGTTTAACTATTGATAAAACTTTTCTTGTCGTAATTTAATATTCCTGCTACTATCAGTACACCTGTCTTCCTACTATCAACTTGTACTTTTACCTATTATGCACGGTGACGTATTCCATTTCATTGTGATTATTGACTCAAATTGCCTTGATTGGTTTATTATTTTCGTATAAATATTCAAGTATATTATAGTAAAGCCTGATGACGATTTAATTGAAAACAATTGTTCGTTTACATGTGTTGTTCTGATTTAATAAATGTATAAATAATATGATATAACCTAATAACTAATTCACATAAAGAGGGAGAGAGAGAAAAAGTTTCAAAAACTCTAGTCACCTTATGGTGTGGTCTACTTATATCTATATAAGTAGTATATGGCGATGATCAGGCATAGAATATATTTTGGCAGAAGACTGATAAGGAAAGAACTGAAATCAAGCGCAAATGGTAGGAAAATGCATGAACAATGGAATTAGAAAAGATGAACTGATATTTACAGAAGGAACAGTGAAGATTAAGACAATCGGTTGTTATTTCGCAAATTAACTGTTTATTGTATGGTTATCAGATTTTAGTGAGATAGTCTGTAATTTGTGCTTAAATACATTCGATTGTCCCCACTCGTGTTCTCATTCGCTACAACCTTACCTTACACCATGCTCTGTAAATAAATTTCATGACATATAAGGATAGTTAGTTTTTTGTTTATACTACAAAATGTAAATTTACTTGTTACAAATGAATCACAGCGTGTTATGATTAACAACATACTTTTAATTCTAAAAGGAAATGTGTGTTATATGGCTGAATTATGCGAAGTTTATCAACAATACAACTATTAAGAATCAATTTTATCGACTAGCTTTGTTATAGTTTTGTAGGTGATTTGAAGTAAAAAGACTGTATTACTGTTAAATTCATAAGGGTAACCTTCAGGTTAAAGCCTATGTAGTCCAGAAAATGACTTCAACCAGTGTTTGCTTATGTATGTATAAACTGGTATTAGGAATTTCTGAGTTCATAATATTTAGTAGTAAAATCCATCTATAGGCTTCTTCTAGTAATCCTGAACTATCTAGTGATATTAGTTCATATTAACTTCGTAAAGCACAGTTTATAAATGTATGAATTCGTCCATCAAATTTTAATCAGTCGAGAATTTCAATTATGATTGAATAAAATATTTTGCATAATTCTCTCAATAATACAAGATCCAATGGTGAGGCTTTCATTGTGACGAAACAATATCATCTGCGAAAATACAAACAAAACAGGTTATGATGGCTCACTACATAAGTGTATTAATTGCTCGAGTTCATAAATTCGATATGAAGTAGGCTTTTCTGAGTAGTCATATTATCCCTAGTGGGATTATTGAATTACGTTCTAAACAAAACTTGCCAGCTAATTGAAATCAAATACACTAGCTCAGCACCATAGAATATATCGCAAAATATTTTAAAGTGGTATATCGGTGTTTGGGAAACATCCACTAAAAGTTTCGTTAAATTGTTGAAAAATTCGTTGATTGCCATACACTACCGGTTTTAAGTATTTCCCGGACTGCTGATTTTTTAATGAAAGCTGTTATACCCCGATAAGGATAATGAATGGTAACTTTGGGATCCATTTGTGGACCAATACTATGCATATAGTTTTATCGTATATTCGCTAAATAATTAAACTATTCATATTCGTGTTCCCCTTATTATAAGCTTTATTTTGAACTATTGTTATATGATTTACCATTCCTGAATTATGCCCTGTCTATTATTCACTATTTCCCCTATTCACAGCCACATTTAGCTAAATCTTGTACATATGCTATTTTCTATTTTGTGGCACGATGTGGTTAGTTTGATTGGTATATAAACTCAGTATGTTTGAAATATAACGATTCATACCACAGAGGCTGGGCTGGACAGAAGCAGGACCGATAAGTACGATAGACTTCTCGTACGGGTCCGTGTGTCACTGTTTCGACCGATAATTCGCTGCTCTCTGATTGGCGGTCTTATCACGTCATACGTTAACAGGGTATCCACTCGACCATAAGCTATAACAAAAGCAAACATTATTTTCAGACTAATTTATCAACTCAAAGAAACAATATTATTGAACAGTATGAATAACCTGTAATCATATCACATACACAAATTTTAATTCGCTCAACAGAATTCTAGCAACAGTGTGAAAAATGACTGCATTTGTTGATTAATAATTCACGTGTTCTTCTTTCGAATGACGTCTGGAGTGCAGAAAAATAACTTTCGATACCCTATACATCGTTTGGTCATATACATGTACCACTGATTAGTTGTTAAGTCCTAGTGTAGCACTTAAATGATTCATACTTATAAATTGTCAGGGGTCGAACCCCATTACCTCTGGGATTATCATCAACCATGGTAACACTAGACTAAAGTGCTGTTGTTCAACGATCTGCATTTCCAATTTCAGTCAACACTCAACATTTCATGACACCAGTGATGTCTTTTTCAATCCGTACATGGCTGAAGTCCACTAAAGTGTTAACGGTATCACTTATCTATGGAAGTTTGCATCTTTGATATACGTAAAAGGATAAAGGTAGGTCATTGTGAAGCCTCCGCACAAAATTTAGTTCTTAAAATGGTTTATTAACTTTTACTATCAGTCTTTAAAATCTTGTGACCGTCTTTCCTAAGACTGAAATCTCAGTTCAGATTGAATTAATACAAAATATCTTAGGAAGCGTTACCCAGTTTGACTAACGTATGTCTTGATATCAGTTATTTTTGATCAAACAACTATAATATACATGATAAAGGATCACAGCTACATTGAACTCCGTATATTAAAGGGACAATCAGTCATTTATTATAAGAGATAAATGAAAAGTCACTTTACGGAAGTTTCTACAATCACCAAATCTCAATATTCTACAGAATGGTGTTATGATTTCAAAGTGGCATGAGGACTTTAGAATTAAAAAAACTAACAAAACGAATATTCACAACTTAAGTCAGAAGACGGTCAAAATAGCTGCGCAGATCACCTGACATAAATGTATTAATGTCTAGTCTTTCCACCTTAATTTCAATTCTAACCGATTTTGTCTATTCAAATTATTCTTATTCCCAGTAGTTAAACTATAAAACACTAATCCTCTGAGTTTATTCTTTTATTGTCAACTTTATTACACTGACCTATTTTCCATTTAGTTTGTTTATTTCAGAAAGTTATTAATTGATCAGTTAAGATCTGCTGCATTTGCTAAATTGACCAATTGAATTGATTAGTTTCATAAGGGACACACCTAGAAAGTGATCTATCATACTTCTTTTGTAGAATTTATTCTTTTCCCCACATCGAATACATTATAAAGCCAGCAGGTTTCACACTTTTTATCAAACGTTTGTAATCCCCTATTGTTGATATTCAGAACTGGAACTGATCATTCTCAGTTACCGTATGTGGATACTGAGTGGATGTTTTCGATAAAGCATTGTCACAAGTTTTAATGTATTTGATATGTGGTTAGCATTGGAATCAAAGACGCACATTTCATCCAGTTTGGGGGTTGTCAGCTAGATGTACATGTATCACAATTTCGATGTTCACAGAGATTCAAACTTTCTCTTGGAACATCCAATGCATTGTTTACTGAGCTATTGAGTCCTGATAGTCACTAACTTGTTCAACAGGGATGAAAACTGTCAGTAAGTCAATCATATACAGAATAATCATGCTTCGGTTGGGTCAAAGGGTGTGCTTCGCTAAACAGTTAAAACAGTAGTTCTTGATCTTTTCAAGCTGATATTATTAAGTGGTAATAAGTATTCTAGAATTTTTTAACCATATTGATAAAAAGAGCAAGAGTTTATTACCCGATATTACCAACACTATATATGGATAATAAGAAAAAAGTCAAAAGGAATCGAGATGCCTTTTATTTAAATTTAACTGTGACCCAAATGTTCTTACAGTTGCAATTGTTATTCATAAACAAAAACGAATACTCCTAAACTTTTTATTCAAAGTATTATTTGCCTCATAACAAAGTCATATTATATTTATGTATAGAGCACTATGTTTAGCTATATCAGTTGGTACAATTTTGAACCAGACTTTATTGACCTATCCATCAATTGTTTTCTTGATTAAAGGAGACGATAACTTGATAGTAAAGACTTTCCAATTAAAATCACTGTAGGAAGTAATTCCCTACAGACGCAATTCTAAACTATCCCCCAAACTGTAGGTATTATTACCAAGTTTTTATTTGATAGTTTTGAATAAATTGAGCATTGTGTAGATTGTTATAAATAAATTATACATTTGTAATATCCCAATGAGTAGAAAAATTAGATTTTCTGACGTTTCGTGACTCAGTGTGAGCCACTTCTTCAGAGAATAAATAACCAAATTAACATTAATCCAAGTTTGAATAGTACAAAGGAACAACACGAATATTAGATGCGATAAATAAAAAAAAACAAGTCTTAACAAATCAGTGTCATGTCATTTCGGTCAAGGTGATTCATAAGCGACATGTATGTAAATTTGTATGTGTGTAGTGTTAAGGATGAAAAATGTGTAACAAAGGATAGAGTTTAATTTGTAAGCTAATAGTGAGAATTGTAAATAATATGAGACTAAGTGACTAGGATAGATAGTCCAAGTAGGATGACATGACATTGATTTGTTAAGACTTGTTTTTTTTGATTGATCGCATCTAATATTCGTGTTGTTCCTTTGTACTATTCAAACTTGGATTAATGTTAATTTGGTCATTTATTCTCTGAAGAAGTGGCTTACACTGAGTCACGAAACGTCAGAAAATCTAATTTTTCTAGTCAGTGGGATATTACAAATATATTATTTATACATCCCCCAAACTGTCGAGCACAGAGTCTTAGCTTAGCCAAAATCAGAACAAGTAAGCTATTAGATTTGATAAACTTTATCTGTTTTAAAACGTAAATTAACACCGTTAGTATACAGAAAACAAATAATTCAGTAAATGAAACAGAAAAAAACATAAATAACATACTGAATAGTAACTAGAGGACAGGAAAGATGAGTCAACAAAACTAATATCGTCTATGACAAACAAGCGCCCCCAAATGACCTGGTACGGCCGAGAGTGGGGAGAGTCACCTCTCCCTCTCGAAATACTCTCATATGGCCAGCGAATATATAGCCTCTGCCAGGGAAGTCCTACTCACTGCCTTCTAGTGGGGGGGGTGTTGTTTACGAAAGTGAGAGGACGAAAAGCGAATGTCCGGCGCTTTAACCGGGTTGGTGGACACGGAGGGTCCACCTAGGAGAGTTGGAAAACCCTGATTCCAAACCAGTAGTGCACATGGGCTCCAGTATCCTGAAGGAACAAATGGCGTACGAATCAACCGTTGATCACCGGCTACCATGGGACTGCATCTCCTCACGATGCTCCACTGCCTTGTGGATCAGACATTCAGGTCAAAGGCTCCGGGTGTGGCCCCCTAAGAAAACCACCTGCTTCAGTCTGGGCACCTGGGCAGTATCACAGCCCTCACACAAATCGAATGAGATTTGTGAGGCGCATATGTATCTGGTGCTTCCTTGTACCAATATTTATGTGTTTAAATAAATAAATGACAAACAAGCGAGTAGCTATCAGGACTCAGTGGATAACGCGATGGCCTTTGAAGCGAACGGTTCTGGGTCCGAGTCACGGAGTGAACATCAACTCTGAGGTGAAGGTATGTCGAGCTGACGAGTCCCAAATAGGACGATCCCACTGCTAGCCACTATTCATTCTTGCTTATAAAAATCATGATTGGTGGATAAACAAGGCATAGTCAAGCAAGGTCAAAGAGAGTTAATGTGATGGTAGACGTTTAATGTTGTCACTGGTGAGTTCGTCTATCGATTACATCTAACAATCATTATGTAGCAGATCTATTTTTTACAACTGGATACAAGCTATCATATCAAAATGGTCGCTTGAATCTAAGCACACAGATTTGTGCTTGATACATGGTTTATCATTCATTGTTTTTATTTGGATAAGTTTTACCTATTATCTAATATCCTCGATTATGAAAATATAAAGAACAATCATTTAGTTTATTGTAAACATTATTTAGACTGTACAGAAACAAATACTGCAGTTACAGAGGGATCAGCAAACATTACAACAGGTAACATAAATCCTGTGTAGTTATCATTGAGCAAAACGGATAGTTCTCGTACATTCAATTGATTAACATCATATCGATAGAACAGCATAAAAGTATTCGAAGGGATAATTGATTCCCTGCTTAGTACTTTATTTAACGATGTGATTACCAATGATAGTGATGATGGTCCAGTTATCCATTGCCATTCAACTGTGGCATTTTTAGGTAGATTCGATACGACAAGCCATACAATACATTGATTGCAATGACATTCACTAATAGCATCAGTAGTATCCAATGTTTGCAAACAAACAGCTTGGTGAAAACAATTTCGAGCCTGGTTCAACGAAACTTCATCAATGGCGTAGCAAATTCCAAGGAACAGATTCATCCATATGTTGGACGGGGCCATATACTGAATAAAAATTTTAAAAAATTAAGTGTCAACATCATGAGTACTTCAGTTACATAAAGCTGAACTGACAATCATACAACACAGATTGAAAAAAACAATCGAACATCAAATTAAGGATAGTAAATTTATCACGTATACCGAGCGCTATAAATATAGATTAAAATTAATTACATTTTAAGGTAACTCGCCCCGCTTAAAAAAAGTAAAGAACTACTGTTTCATATGACACAATGTTATGTAAAGTGGTGTACTACGAATTGTAACTTGAAGAAACATCTTGAACATTAATACAAAAGTCCTAGTAAGTTCTTCCTAAAAATTTCCGATATCGGAATCTTAATCTTTACACGTACCTAAGACAAAGCTTTACTGTGATAATACAGTAAGAATATTAACACTTAGGTTGACCAATCAACTGAACAGTTATCTAATGACAGAAGAAACTGCAATGACCTATCGTTTAAGTTAATCACAATAAATCGTGTAAGTCAGGAATAACTTTATTATGAATTCTCTCTGCTAGATTTCTCTGTAAATCCTCATCTACAGTTAAATATTTCTATATTTGGTTCCTTCAAAAAAATGATTTCCTATCAAGTAGGATTAGAGCCTAACCAAGTTTTGAAAGGATAAATTAAACTGTTAGTCAAAGACATTGAAGACATACAGTAATTTCGCTGACGATGTTAACCACTTTTCTTAGATGAGCAGTTGCATTGATTCTGATTGAAATCGTTAGCATAATTTAAAAAAAGGACCGAAAAATTCTAATACAGCTATGTGCACTACTGGTAATACATGGTGTAGTATTCATAGTCGTTTGTGAAACTTTGAAGTAAACAAAGTCAGAAGATACTTGATTTTCAGAATTTTTCTAGTATCGTCGTCTAAATGCATTAAAACGACTAAATAAGTAATCTTCAAATTTTGGTTGAAGTAGTGATGTTGAAAAGATATACAAAATAATAATAAGAGCCCGAGGCAAAAAGTGATGATATAAACCATAAAAGCATCGGTCTCATTAATAAAAATAATGGAGAATCTTACGTGACTAGAATTATTCGAAAAAAATCCCAGGACTTCCTCCAACCATTAAACACCTCAACACATTGCACATGATGTCGAGTCATTAAGACCAGTGAGCACATTAACGTGATTGATAGAATTTGACCAGGACTTAAAGGACCAGACAGATACGACTTGGTTACTACTCAGTGATGAAACAATTATAAAAAAGAATTGTAGCTCAGGTGAGCTACAAATCTTCTCCACCATCTCATAAAAAAGAATGTTTTTAAATTACAGTCTATATAGTATCATAGCTAAAGATTTAAATCACAATCATAGTTCTGCTTTGTTTACTTTATTTCGGAGACGAAAAAAGACCAGCACAATAGACCAACACACAATGCCCGATCCGCATATCTCGTGATTATGTATATAGCTGTGAAATCAAAATATTTCGTTGTTTTGCTTTTAATAAGTTCGGGGCCAAATTTTAACCTGGAGAATATCTTATTGATCGATCATCTAATGTAATATCCCGAGTAAGCCTGTTTCCTAGTAATATATTAGGCTACTTTTGACGTAAGTGCTGTTGTAGTGAATAAGAACACAAATGAGGGCAGCCGATTGTATTTGGCACAATATTACAGAGTTACTTGGTAAATTAGAAAAACTATACTGCGATACTTCATTTGAAAATTGTTCATTAATTGTTTCAGACTTCATTGTCCCTGAATTTCCATACCAATTACTTTCTGTTCCCGTTCTTTCTTCTTCGATCTTCTCAGCCTTCTGTTGCCAGACACTTTATTCTTGATTGGTGTTAAATACTACTTATGTCGACATAAGTAGCACACACCACACTACTAATTAAACGCGTTGCGTAGAGGTCGCGAGAGTTTAAAACTACGATTAATTATGAGAGTTTGTATTTCTCCACTAATGATATTCAGTATTGAATTTATTCAGTGTTTGTTGACACATAGATTCCTTAAATGGATGGTATAGAATTCCCTGTATTTACAAGTTTTGTGGATGCCTCATATTAGCTTGCCTATCGTGATGACCCAACCGAGCTATATTGACTGGAATATATGTTCCTGTAGGTTCTACCATGCCAGACGGGTCGATCAGAGAACGGTAAGACTAAAAGCAGCAACTGAAGGTCTGATGGAAATGTCGTACTGCTGACTGTAGAGGGGTGTGACGGCAGCAAGGTGTTTCCCTCGAACAACCAGCATCTGCAGCGATGCTGACTTCTTGCAAGGAAGGAAGGAGTAAAAAAGGTCGATCCTAAAAATATCACGTCCCACCTTACCTCATGGATTTCCGTCTACGGCGGTAAGGCCCTTTGAAGAACGGAGCTAACATGTCAAAAACCTTCCACAAAAATTCCGTGCGCAACCTGCCTCACGCAGTTGTCCCTTGGACTCTGCAGTCTGATCCACAAAGCAGTGCGGCATCGTGAGGAGATGCAGTCCCGTGGTAGCCGGTCACCAACGATTGATTCATAGGCCATTTGTCCCCTCAGGATACTGGAGCACATGTAAACCATTGTTTCGGAATCAGGGTTTTCCAACTCCCCTAGGCGGACTTTCCATGTCCACCAACCCGGTTAAAGCGCCGGACTGAGGTCTTAGGTAGAATCTGGAAACTAGACGTAATTTCATCTGACTGGTCCCAATCACTGATTGTCCCAGTCTATAAGAAAGGACAAAAGTCCTCTTGTGACAATCACAGAGGAATCAGTTTGACTTCTATAGTGTCTGAAATATTAGCTTCAATAATACTTCGACGTCTAATCAAAGCTCATGAAGAGCAGACTAGAGAAAACCAGTCTGGTTTTCGACCTGGACGTGGTTGTATAGACCAGATATTCACTCTACGTCAGGTCCTAGAACATAGACGCACATTCAGACGCCCCACAATCGTAGTATTTCTTGACCTTAAGGCGGCATTTGACTTGATTTGAATCGACAACCGCATCTCCGTGTTAATTAGGTATGGCAACTCGAACTGATGTACGTACGTACGAAGTTCTACGTTGTGACTGACTGACTCATATTAGCTAGCAGTGATATTTGGGACTTATCGGCTAGATAATGTGGCGCGTGCTACTTATGTCGACATAAGTAGTATCTAACACCAATCAAGAAAAAAATGTCTGGCAACAGAAGGTTGAGAAGATCGAAGAAGAAAGAACGGGAACAGAAAGTAATTGGTATGGAAATTCAGGGACAATGAAGTCTGAAACAATTAATGAACAATTTTCAAATGAAGTATCGCAGTATAGTTTTTCTAATTTACCAAGTAACTCTGTAATATTGTGCCAAATACAATCGGCTGCCCTCACCTGTGTTATTGTTCACTACATAAGTACTTCTAACCATGTTTTGACGCGTGGAATGAAATATGGTAGTAGCTGTCGTGATCAAGTAACCTACAAGAATAACACTTCATCGTTTGGAGTAATAACTACCCATTTAAGTTTCAGCATGGAAATAAACGACAAGACGCAGCCACAAAGTTGATAAATCCCAGTGATGGAACACATCATCGAAGGGTAAACTGTCCATTTTTTGTATTTCATCATATGAACTTCAACACCACTAAAGACACAACAATTTAAATAACCATTTTGATGTTTAAGTTTAGAGTAAGCATGTACCTAAAGCATACATAATATTTCCGTAGTATATGAATACCAATTAAATGACAGGTTCTAGTTAAGAATTTTGTGAATGGAAAAATAAATAAAAAATACAGAGTTTATGAAGTTTGTGCTCGTCATTAACTGATAAATAGGATAAATAAATTTTTGAAACTGCTTACTTTCATTATTCGGTGACAATGTCTTAATGAAAGCCAAGATTCAACTTCCAATGCTTCGAAGTGATCAGAAAAATATCCAGTTTCTGATGGTATTATTTCCAATTCAGGAATTAAACCAATTTGGCCAGAATAGAATGTAAAATAATCTGCAACACAAGTAGAAAAGTCATCCAGCTGAATATTTGTGATAGGAACAGCTATTGCTTGACTATAAGGTCCAATATTAGCTGGAGCCCAGTGTGAAATAGACTGCACATACAGACCACGTAAAGAATTAATCCATTCAAACACGTTTGTATTACCATAATATACGATAGCAGATAGACTAATCATGAATACTTCATCAGAACAATGAACGGTCTCATTTGAAAGCTGGATAAGTTAAAAAGATATACTATTAGGTTGGATTTATTCAAAGTCGAAACAATAATACAAGGTTTTTGATATGTTCGGAAAAAAACAGTCATCGTTCGCTTTGTATTCTATTCGTTATCTTAAAATTTATTATTTGAGTTGTTTAAACAGTGTCAGGGAGTTCGCTACATAATACCCTATAAATGATATTCTAAAAGTTTTTTTAATTAGACTTCTCGAGAAAATACACAAGTGTGTTCACATAGAGAAGACTATTTTTAATGAGTGAAAAGAAAAAAAATATAATCACAAACGATAATTATCTCACAAGGAAACATTCTTTATGAAAAACCTTAAAATCAAAGGGAAAACTATTGAAGCATAAATATGCCTTATTAAGCTAATCAATTCAGTCACTCATAAACAACAGATGATTTTTGAAAAAATATTGATAGACTTAAGTCACCCAACAAGAGACTGGTCAATTGCAGTCCTAAACAACAATGGGAAGATACAAGTAAACAACACCAAGTGAATTTAAGTCACTATAGTTCACATCAAAATAAAAGGAGAGAGGAAATCAACAGATAGAAAGCAAATGAGTAAAAACGATGTTAAACGTTGTAGAAAAATCAAGATTTAGAACATAAGAAATGAATTCACCGATTTGTTACAAATTCGAAACCCATGCCCCACCTTCTTCAACCTAAGCAATCAAGTATTTTCACCCACTGTCGCAAATGCAAATAAGATCTCTGAAGAGCGGTAAAACAAATCTGTATTTAGGGAATCAGTCATAACAAAGTACTAGTTTTGCGATTTAACAATCAAGTACGGATTACTTGATCTAAATAACTTACTGTTCAAGTGTAGATATATGGTGATGCATACTTTGAACCAAATACTTATTGTTCAAAAATCAACTGTGTACTACACTTATTTACAGATTCACATATAAATTCGAATATAACTAGTAAGATGAATTTAGCTGTTTAAAAATTTGACTAGCCGTAATTTATATGAAATAATAGCAGAAAAAATCGATTGTAAATAATTTCTTTAAGTTAGTACACAATTATTTATTTGACGATATCATCAGACTGAATTTGATTACTGATTGGTTTGGCACAGGAGGTTTAATCTTAATGATACAATTATTTATACTCATTATGTTATCAGCTAAAAATACACGAGAAAATTTTTTGATTCATTAATTTATTCCATTAAATAAGTGCGTCCTACTTAAATGAACTTTTACTCAGGATTGTATTGGATAACACCTAGAGAGATATTATTCGATTAGTTACAGAAAAATAGATGAAGAGAATATCGAGAACTATGATCTGATAACTAAAAAATCGAATAATACTTTAACCATTAAAAATTAATTCTACAACAAAAATATAGCGTATAAACTATAATAACTTCCTAAAAATATTCCGAGTAGTAACACATATATTGGATAACCGTGAATTAATTTATTGAAAATATGTATGTTTGATGTTAAACAAGAATACGCCGTGAAAAAAAAACACAATAGAAACGTTAGCATCATACATAAGAATGTGTATAGCTGGAAGTGGATAGGATATACATTACGGAAATCACCAAACTACATCACGAAGCGTTTATTTGGAATCATGAAGGGAAACGGAAAAGAGGAAGGCCAAAGAACACACTGCGTTGGGAATCGGAAGCAGACATCAAAAGGATAAATAGCAACTGGAAAGTACTGTCCGGGACAGAGTTGGATGGAGAATACTGGTGGGCAGACTATGCTCCTCTATGAGGAGTAATAGGCGTACGTAAGTAATAGCTCACATTTTTATTATCAGATTCACTCGATGTCCAACAACAGACTACTCAGTCAGTCGAGGTAGAAGGAATAATAGGAATTGAAGAAGATTGATTATGAATACAGTGATCTTGAGTGCTGTTAGAGGTATGGGGGCAGTTATCACTTCCCGGTTGCCCACACCGTGAAAAGGTTCTTTTAGAGGTACCTGAAAAGAAAATTGGATTACAAGTGATCTTAATGACATGAGAGCGTGACCGCAGTGCCCAAGGGACAACTGCTTGAGGCTGGTCACACACGATCATTTTGTAGGTGATTTTCGTGTTAGCTTCGTACTTGTTGGGACCTTATCGTCGGAGACGGAAATCCGTGGGATAAGACGAGGTGTGTATTTTTAGGGTCGACCTTTCCTAACCCCACCCCTCCTTGTGGGAAGGCAGCATCGCTGTTATGCTGGTTGTCTGAAGGGAACACCTTATTGCCGTCACACCTCTGTACAGCAAGCAGTACGACTTCGCCTTCGGACCTTGTATTTGCTGCCTTTAGTCTTACCGTTCTTCAACCGACCTACCTGGCATGGTAGGACCTTGAGGAACGATTGTTCCAGCCAGTATAGCTCGATTGTTTCATCACGATTGGCAAGCTTGACCATCAAATCAAAGTGGCAGCAACGGTTGGGACAACAGACTATTGCTACAATTACTATTGATTTCTAACAAAAACACTTAACAAACAAAATTTATTATAGGCGGATGAAGTTTCGAAATACAGATTGATTAAATGTAAACATGAATATGAAACATTTCGTTGCTGATTTGTGCTCTATGCAATCAAGCAAAACTTAGTTCATTAATAATACATTTTACTTAAAAGTTTATTGTAGAAAAAAGAAACGAAGTGTTAAAAAATTTACACGTTCTTTTCTTTCAACAACTAGTTGAAATAGAAACCAATATTTTAGACTATTGACCGACCAAACAAAAATTTTGATTTATTTCGCTAACAGATTCAATCGACTTTATTGGACAATTTATTCTGTTTCTGAATATATTATCCTAAACGACCTAAGCATTTTTCGAAAGTCTGAGTTGGTTAAAAATTGAATGTAAAAAATCATATTTTTGTTAAGTTGTAATTCTTCACAGTTACATACTAGGTGTTATCTCTTGATATTTTCAAGACTCAGTGATGAAATGAAGTACTAGGAGGAAACAACTGTAGTTGCCATCGTTTCATACTACTCAGTGAAATTAGTTAGTATTATTACTATTACCGTGTCTGTTGACTGGGTAATAACAAGAAACAGTAAAGCGAAATATTAATTAATCATCAGACAATGAGTTAAAACACGTAATAACCTAGTGGTTGAAAAGAAAATAACATAGAACAGAGCATAACACATTGTTTTACACTTGAAAATTAAGAAACTTACAGAATTCGCACAAATGCATACACGCGTTGGCATGTATGAATCAATACATTCAGTTTTTAAATTAATACTATCAATCTCTGCTTCTTCCAACCACCTATTTAGCTGTCCAGTATAGGCTTCATTGAAACTACTGAATACATCTGGAGACAAACGTTGACTTAAAACGACAATGAATTGCACAATCTGCTGAGGTTTAATTTCGTTTAAAGCTATGGAACAATTAATAGGAGAGATTTATGTTTAACACGAATATTCTGGTTAACCGAAATTGAACATGAACAATGAAAAAACAATAAACAACATCCAAGTCGTATGACAGATAGCGGGAAAAGCCCTAATCTGAAAATACATATTGACCCGATTCAAAACTCGTAAATAATTGCCCGAGGTACTCAGAAAACTAATTTTGGATTTTTAGATGCAAAGAACTATCCTATAAAAGCTATTTTCTCTAAACGTAATCACAAACGAACGTTTGCCATTGTTGCGCGTTAGAATGGTCAACAACAAAGAAGAATGTCGGCTTTTCGAGCTCTTTTTAAATCTGTTTGCATGATATGAGATCTACAGCCTCAAAAACATTATGCTCCTCATTAAGTCTAAAAAATATTTTTAATGACTTGATAAAAAGTTATTACTGATGCTTTAATTAGTCAGTAAGTCAGCACAAATCGATGTGAAACATAACACAAATGTATATAAGCTGAAGTCCCCATAATACATTAGCACAGTGAGATGAAATTAACTAGACGAATCTCAAAGCAACTCATTCTTCAGGTACACACTATGAAAGCTAATAATACTACCTGGTTACCTCAACCCATGTCGGGGGAGCGGGGCTTGAACCTGGGACTTAGTGGCTGAAAGTCGAAATCATTAACCACTAAGCCGCAGCTTCACTAAAAGAAACAAAATGGATCGTAAAAAAGTGGGGCAAGCAGTAGTTTGAGTTACAATGAAAAAGAATAAACACTGAGTACATGGTTTAAAAATAGAGAATGAAAAGGTATGCATTAAGGAGCATGGAAACTCAAAATCTGGGGGAAAAGTGAATCCATATACGCCGCTGCGACTGGTTCTGAGTCATGTCACCCAAGTTCCTTGTTATTAAGTTTGGTCGCTATACTGCACCCTTTCGTACAGAATATCCGATTAATATTTAAAAAATAAGGCACCAATAATGAGCATATTTTTAGCAAGTACTTCTTTGAAATAGAGGAGGAAACACGAGCTTCGCCAAAAATGCTTTTCTATTTCGTAACACATGCATCATCCATTCAGAGATAGCAGAAAATCAAAAATAAATGTTTTTGAGAAGCAATTTGACCTTTCTGCACAATTTACACTTACCGAATACATTTTTTATTTGACTGAAGGCATCTTCTGTAGCTTCATATATTTCATCTACTTTTTCACCAGTACCATAGTAATTTGATGTAACATACATCCCATTACCTAATGATCTAGCAAAATTATTTATTGATTTCCGGTCACACTCATCGTATTTCTGATTATCATTATTACCATTTATATTTGTTTTCCGAAGCATAGCATTAGTAAAATCGCCTTTTATTTCTTCACATGTTTTCAAACTTATACTTTTTAATCTTTCAAACGGAGTGATAAACGGTGATCGTTCATGTGTTGACGTATTTTCCACATTAATATGTTTTCCTTTTAAAGATAAAAGTTGCTCTGGTGTTCGGCAAACCTCATCCAATGGTTTAGCCTGAAGAAATTATTGTAAACGAATAAAAGAAAAATAAATACCAAATAATCGAAAATACCAATTTGATAAGTAGGTTGTAACTCGGCTATTAATTATTCGCTGTCATTAATGAAACTTTTTTTGCAGTTCAGTTCCTGCTACTTAATACTCACTTTTAACAACAAAAACTAACAAAATATGCATGTATTTTGTGCTATAGCTCAATAAGCTGTTAAGACTCTTTACAATAATGTTCCATCTACAACTTGTATCATTGAAGTAAATACTGGATATAGGATCGTGTAAACTGTTCCAGGGAGCAAACAGCAGGTCAAATACTAAAAACCATGATTTTTCAACTATTGAAGAGTATCATAAAAATCATTGAAGGGGTTGTATATGTAAATATCGATTATAGAAGTAGTAGAAATGTTTGGGAGTTATCAGGTGTATAATGTCATCACTCTCCCTATATATAGACATAAGCGCCCTAGACCTGAAATAAATTCGTTATTAGGTTACGTAGATGGTAGACTAAGCATCCGGCTTTCACGATGTTAGGTACAAACCACATGATATACGTTTTGCAAGATGAAAATAGTCAACAAAAGCTTCAGCTTCGGTACAACTTAACTTCTTTTACCAAATATAGATATATTTGCTTGATTTTGAGAAACGGTTGCGGAATTAGTCACATTACTCAGTTTCTAGAACCAAAGTAAATGAAGAGCTGTACGAACCTTTATCTGTCCATTAATTTCATAATGTACGTACTGGTACAAACGGGCACCAAAATAAATATCCGCCGCGTAAAGAGGAAAATGAAATTACGAAGATTCAGAGAGAGGAGGGAGTATTGTCAAAATAAATGAATGAATAAAAATCTAATCAGAATGGTTTGTAATAGAAGAGACATTTTAGTTTTTTAATATATGAATGTACGAACCTCAGTATATAAAAGTTAAGTCTTGTCTCATAATGCATCGTTTAGTATCCAACCACAATATAGCAGGCACAGTTACATCTGGTTCAGCCTTACATTTATACTGTAGAGAAACGATCTTCAAAAATACTGGGTCACAAATGTCACATGTATGAAGTTTACTTGCATCACCAAAACCACTACACTTTTGCTTTTATGATGAAAAAAGGTCAAATAGTTGACAGTCAAATCTTATTTCGTATACGATTATAGACTGCGGTGTATAAAATATACCAGCCACTTCAATCGATGTTTCTATCTCTTACTTTAAATAAGTTCTCAACTATTTTTACAAACTTAACTAAACTCAGGTATTTGAATTTGACAACGACAAAATGTACCAAAATACGACACAAACTAACCTCCAAAAGCAGATTTCTTAAACGGAGGTAGGCAGTGGGTGAAAATGGGTCTTTAGAATGTGTCACAATCTCAGGTTCCGATTGTAATCGAATTCTACTATTAAAAATTGGGCAGTCTAATGTAAGTGTCTCAAATTCGCCACCTTCTCCACATACATTTAAAGACCAAGGGGGAACTGATAATTGGCGAAGCTTATATGCAATACTACTGAGGTGAACCCCAAGAAAATCTTCAACTGTTAGTCCAAAAGCGGCGATCTAGAAAATATGTCATAAAGAGATCTTTAGAAAATGCTCCTGAAATAATGTCACTAACTTAGGCTACGAAAATGTAAAAACTATACTACAAAGTAACAAACGGAAAACATGGTAATGATGACTTCTGGAAAATGTTCAAGTAAATTATCATAACTTGATAATCAGTGTGGGAAAGGCAAAAAAGGGATATTGTTGAGTGATAAAGTACCATAGATAAGGCTAACCTGAATTCGTGCCGCATACCACCACTAATTTTTAGCAACTCTAAATTTATGTTTCAAATACAGTTGACATTAGAACTCTACATTGACTCTTTATATCACTTGTAAGTCTCCGTTTATAAGACATAAAAGCATTTAAACCGGTAATTTAGGACTGATCAGAAATTACATATATAAGTCGGTTTTAACCAACCTAGGACCCGGTCAGTCAGTTAGTTATAACGTAGGACCAGACACATGCATCGGTCCAAGTTGCTATACTTCATTAGTACGACAAGATGAACACTGAATTCATAGAAGTTGTTACTTCAATGGTAGTTACAAAAAATTTCATATAAGCGTATGATACAAGGCGAAAGAATTAGTTCGCAGAAAGGTATAAATTATTTTGATCTCATGGTTTAAGGCAAGAAAAAAAGTGTACATACCAACGCCACTGTGATCGATTCCGAGCCATGTCACACAGTCTTCAACCATTGGTTACGATAATTTCATGGAACCCAACCAAGTAGTCTGCATCTACCAACATGGCTCAGACTAGAAGTTAGTGATTTTACGTATTGATGCCACGTTTTGGTCTGACCACCCCTAACACTCTTTCGACCATCCCCAACACTGGTCAGCATAGCGCGTCGTGGTAACCGGCGCTCAGGCATACGTAACACGCGGCCCAACCATCTCAGTCAATGAAGATTCACAACCTCATCAACTGATTTGCCATCATTCCCCAATACCCTGCGTATAACCTCACTATTACTTACTCAATGATCCCAACAGATGGGAGTGACATTTCTAAGACACGGTTAAAATCGTGCAGTGCTTCACGATTTAACAGCATATCATCACAGGAAGATAAAGTCCTCGAGATGAGACAAAAAAAGTGAAATAATATTAGAGCCAATATTGATGAAGAAGACTGAACATCGGAGATGTTTGGAAAAAATGAGTGTGTCAAACTTAAATTATAAAATGATATTTACACTTAAGATCTAAAGGAGAATAAGGAATGGATGTATCTGCAATAGCGTGAGCGATTTTGCACCATATCACAATTGATCATACTTACTGCACAGACTGCAATCAGGCAGTCTACACTGACCAAAACTTAGACTGTCAGACAGTGGTTTAGTCGAACGATGCCATTTCTTAGTTTAATTGTTATTAGCTTTTGCTAAACATACATACCATTTGGCACAGCATATCTAGGTAGGCAGGATTCGGGTATATGAAACACGGAGCTAACCACAGAAGCACGCTGTCGAACTCAGTGAATCTACTCAGGTTTGTTACCATGTCTAATGACAGATACAGAAAGCTTGCTTAATATATGCCAAAACAAATAGGGGGGAATTCGACAACCTAATATACCTGTAGAACTCAACAACTGTGCCTAGTACGTGCTATTACACTGATGCAAGACCACATAAAAAACCACCTTGATTATTATGGCATCGAGGCCAGCTGAAACAATGTCCTCCAAAAGTTCTTCTTGAGACCGTTGCCATAAGAAGCATAACGAACGTAAACCCAGCCTACGAGTTACATTCTCGACACGATATCGCTGATAGTCTGAAAGTATAGCCCCACTTGATACAGCAGTCACATCAGGTATTTCAGATAACACTCTACATAAGATATCGTAAAGATCTTCAACCTCGTCGTTTGAACATTGACGGTACAACATGCGCCTACAGTGGGACACTCTGCGTAGCTCCATCTGATATAGAGGAACTTCAAGTGCGTTAGAAATGTATCCTATAGCCTCACTACCAACACTTTGGTACATATAACTGTCGATTTCTGAAGTCCTATGAAGAACTTAGAATTAACTAATATGACTCACTCGTTGTCACTACATTTAGGAGGACATAAGTTAACGAGAGCAACCAAACTGTGGCCATGTACAATACATTCCATAATATTGTATATACTGTCCTTCCCACCGCTGACAAGGGCAACGAACTTCATCCTGCGCGTCGACCTTGGATTGTACAAGCCCGTGCTAAACCTTAATTCAGTCTTGATTGGTTTAAAGACGATGAGTTTGACTGAAAAGCAATAAATGATTTCGATAAGATATATACGATTCACCACATCAAAAGCTTTTGAAAAGTGAAGATATATTACGTAAACTTTCTCCCTGCGATCAAGAATGGTTGTCCATATCTCCTCTGTAGTCAGCAGGTTGTTTATGCAAAGATCGACTTTCCTGAAGCAGTGCTGTTGGGATGAAACGAGTCTTATGGCTAGTAAGTATTCATATGGACGATCTCATATCAGGGACTCTAAGATTTCCAAGATTGAAGCCACTTCTCTCAGTATAGCAGAATAAGCCATATCCAGACTAGGAGGATTGTCCTTCTTTAGATACTGCAGTGCCTGATACACCAATTCAGTGTTGAGGTTCATTTCTTAGAATCCCAAATGAGTTTTATGTGTGGTACGTGTTGATAAATTTAGTACAGGACGGTCAAATGCTCGAAAAGATTGTTATATCTGAAGGTCGGTGGTGTCACCGTCGTTGTCGATTGGGCCATTAGGACCTAGTGTTACGGGAGAACTGGAGACATTTGGCTGATTAAAACCTTTTTACTGTGTTTTTTGGATGTGTTTGCTTTACTTAACCTTTGGACTTGTCTGTTTATATCATTCTTTTCGGACATTTTGGTTTCTTTTGTCATTGGTTTGGTATTTGGGAGTTTTTGCTCCAGGAACCTACAAAATTGAAGGTTTGTTTTGTAATTGATATAATTGTTGTTGTTAGAACGACTTTGTCGATTATTTGTGAGCTGCGGATAAACTTGGTATATAATTTTGAGTTTTGGTTCTCTTGCCTACTTGGGTTCGTGATTTGCGAATATCGACGGCCAGAACTTCAATAGCTGGTACGGGCAAAATCTCATAATTGGACGTAACACCTAGCTATTGCTAAACTCCGGTTTCGGCTTATCAAAGAGAGAGCATATGACGTAACAATAAGTTATTTATTAGCATTATATGACACTGACGCCTGTCTTTTATCGCCTTCGTGCATTAGTTCCTTGCATGTTTGGACTGCCTATATGTGCTGTTGTCACTAGTCCGTGCACATTACACCCAGCAATGCCTTTTGCGTCTTAGCAATAAAAAAGTGTGATTCTCGATGTCTGTAGCTTACTTGCAAATTTTGGGGACCATTTAGGGGACAGACTCTTTCATGGCACATAAGATGGTGTTATAGATTGGCCTGTAAAGCTGACATACTCAACTGTTAGTGGTTCCAGCGCCTGTTGTTAGTAGAATGCTTTAGCTCAGTTTTGTTGATAACATGGAAGTCAATGACGGCATGATCACTTTTTCCAGAGAAGCTAGGACTAAAAGGTTAACAATTAGGAATTCTTGGTATACAAATATGCAGCCCAAGTGCGGAGGCGTCCAAATATTTCTCCAGGCTATTTGCTAAACTCACGTTTCCGAATAATCTCGAAACTTCAGTGAGGTTCAAGAACCGAGCTTCAGCATAACGGTTTTATGAAAACTGAAGGTGTTCAAAGAAAATTCACAAAAACTGTGTTGGGGTATTCGGACGACAAGGATTACCACCAAAGATGTCAACAACTCAAATTAGACTTTCTCCCTTTCTGGATCAAGCGCAATTAATCATACCTTTTCCTTATCTACCGGCTTACAAATGGCATCTCTTACTCTTTGGCATCCACCCCTGTAGTGGTATTAATCCTAACCACACAATCCTCAAAGCTGAACATGAGATAACTGAGAAAATAGATATTCAATACTCAACACAGAGAGAAGATGAACAATGGAGAAGGCGTGAAGAATTAATTGATGAATTCAATTCATCGGATGGCACGACTCAGCCTTTCAAGCGTGGTCATTCTTATGCAAATTATCTCTTTTATTCATACCAAATATATTGTTCTATCTCCTGCCGAAATGTGTTCTTTAGAAACGCCAATCATATGACTAATTTTCACTATACGATAAGTCAGTGTATACAATGATGTGACTTCTGCGTAATATTCTATAGATTACGTTGTCACATTATGACACATCTACAATTTCAGGATTAGGTCTATTATTAGAGCAGTACTAATAACGAAATGGACCATAACTCTACACTTATGTTAATGGTAGTCTAACCCGTAATTATTCAAATCGGTTTTCAGTATTTACCTTACATCCCATCTGAACAAAAACTCCATTACATTTTACTGAATTTGGAAGGATGTTGCTCTCTTGAAACGTGCCTGAAGAAGGTCAACTATCGAGGCATCAGGACTAGAAGACAAATCCTATTCAGCTCACCGGGAGCACTCGACTTACAATCAATGTAGTAAAGGAGGATAAGAGAGCATTTCATCAATAACTATTATAATAATCCTAGTTATTTTCATTAGAATAGTCAACTGACTTATCCTAGTAATGAAACACACTTGAGAGGGCACCCACTAAAGACAGGACGAGACCAAGTCAACGTTAAATTTCGTATGAAATCGAGTGTCGAATAATCAAGATCAGAAACTGAGGACCAACAGTACAGTGGCTGCTTCCCCCTCCTAAGTCCTCTCAAGGAGGTCTAACGATCAATTCAGTTCTGCAACATACCTCACAGTGACCATGTTTGGTCTCATCTGTCCAGATCCAGATTCCCAGGAACAAATATTTAACTAGTTCCTCCAAATAAAGTTGACGTTTGTGAGCCAGTTAACAATTTGTTGGAAGCAAATAGCCAGTTATTTTACTTCTGCTGATATCCGAAAATATTAAGTTTTTGTCCTTGTGCTTAATTCATATCTTTCAGTCAGTGTCCTTTAAACTAGGTATGTCTAGATATTTCTGAAAACAAGTGTTCAGTGTGCCTTACCAGAATACTTTTCAAGACTTTAAAGTTAGTGTTAAGTCCGGGTTTTAAGGCCTTTCGCTGTATCTGTGCAACTTTTTATCCAATAACTCTCCTTCATGTCAGGATAGACCCAAAAGATGTTGACGGCCAATGGCTTCTTTGTAACAACATGATAAAAGCCACAAGAAGATATAGAAAAAGTACTTTTCGAAAAAGCACGAGTACATACTAGTTAACAAAAGATCTAGGAACATCAAAAAGCCAGTCAATTGCAGAATCTGTCGACACTATTAGGCCATGTTTTACCTGTTTTTCGAATTTCTAACCTTCATCTTAGCAGTTATCCTTACGCAAACCGAGTAAATGAAACGAAATGCATCTTTAAATCGTTAACTGTCACTGGTGGAGGTGAAGACCACGAACACGTTTGAAATACTTTTCGGCCAATGAAATCGAGTTTGTTGTGAAACCGTTTGTCCCAAACGAGCGGTAAATTTGTGACTGATGGACAGTTTTAACACAGAGAGCAAATACATGTATATGCATTGTTAGGGCTCTCATCATGAACTAAAATAATTCATTGAGCAAGGATTAATATCAGCAAAATATGATCGGTCTACAAACTTTACTTATGCTCTGCAACGGATCAGAAAACTACTGGTAAATGCACTCGCTATCGCTGTCTAATAAGCCTAGATTTACACCTTTGTTAGTGGTTGCTTTCGTAAAAAAATACAATGAGTTTTCTGCGCTCATAAAGTCGAACATCCACTTTTTCTCGTGAGTCAAAGTTTACTTACCGATGTCCCCGAAGAATTTAATCTGTCTTACGCCAGACGCGAAACGCTATATTAACGGATATTCTAGTCGATATGCGATTCACTCTGGGAGATATATCTAGTCTTTGGACCTGGTTAAGTGGAGTGAAGTGAATAAAGCAAAGTTTCATATAAAAATGGTTTTTCTCTTATGCTGCTCAATAGTTATGGTTAATTTGTATGTAATGCGTAAAGAGACAGCACAAGGTTAATGTTGATAAGACTGTTTCAAGTTACGAACTCTTCGTCTACTTTTATATATTCAGATGTTTAAATTAGCCTTTAGGTTATCTTACTAATGGCTGAGAAGTAAAGTGTCGCTATCGTTAATGAAACCTAGTAAAAGGAACGCAAATTAATGATCGAGTGTAGATATAATTTGGAACAGTTTGTAATTGAGGATCCTGTTAACAATTATGTTATAGAAATCACGTGCCAAATAGTGTAATGTTTGGATTTCCCATCAAAAATGAATAATGGAATTGTTGAGTTAGTGTTTATACTCTTGTCGCCGCCGAATAAGATAGTGCAATATGTCGATGAAAAGTGCAACAAAATTGTGACAATAGTTTGGGACGAAGTTGCTTAAAAACAGTAAATCCCTATATCACCTTTGGAAGTTCACCCGTCTCTAATCTAATTTCATTCTTAACCATATTAAAATTTTTTGTCCAGTCTTTATTTGTAGTCTAGCAAATAATGTTCAACGGCTTTTTCTTCATATTCCTTTATGTTCATGATCACTGTTGTATTTAATTCATTAACTTTAATAGCTACAATTGCTCTCTTCTTTTGTAATGAACACAGAACCGGAATATTATCTTTTGATACATTAAAGGCGTTTTCGTTTCGTCAAAACAAGAGCTAATTATCGACATATGAGATGGGACTCTTTGTCCTGCAATCGTTTTAGCAGAGACTCCAGCATCTTAACGATTTCTAGTCTGATAAACAGTTTCGTATGCATGTTGAAATTCGATCCTTTTATAATCGAGCGATTTCATGTTTATTTATAACCCAGTCTGATATATTACGAACCACTATTAGATCATCAGACACGACTGTAACCCTGTCTTTTGTCCTTTATTTATTTCTCTCGTGATTCCTAATATATCCAGATTTCGAAAGATTTATAAAATGACCTTCCTCTCCATTGAATATTTTAAACTCCGGCTCTGTAATTCAATCAAAATTAAGTGTTTTGTAAGCTCATCGAGGTTATTCGCGGATTCACGGTAGTTTCACAGAATTTGTACACTTTAGAATGTGCTCTTGTGGAGCACTGAGCAACCTGATAGGATCGTCACACGTTTTGTGTTGGCTTAACAGCAAGAGATCTAGGAATAGTGTTGAACAT